ATGTATTCATCCTTATCCAGAGCTGAAATGGAGATGCTCCAACCAGTTTCTGTTCAGCAGCAGATGTTAACTGCAGCTTCCAAAATGAAGCCAATGGTTTGTGTCTTATGTAGAATTATACCACCTGCATTTAAGAGATGAATGTTGCCCAGTTTTACACTTCAGTTGGGCACGAGAGTGAAAGTATGATTAAGCACCTGATCATTGCTAATAAAATCAGTGATGCCATATACAACTGAAAAAGTGTTAAAATCTTTTCTACATGTGCAGAATGTCACATGTAGAGTCATGCAAGAGCACTGACTCCCTGAACAGAAATAAACCTAAATATTCAGGTCTTTATATGTCTAAAATTCAGTCACTTTTTTCCTATATAACCCAAATTGTGGATGTCTTTTAAATAATAGTTTTGTGCTGACTTCTAGACTTCAATGACAGATAGGAGGCAGAAGACTGCAACAGACAGCTTAGAAACAAGTATAATGGTTTCAGAATGTGTTAAGGTAAGGTCACAGGAGTTGGATAAGGTTCCTATGGTTGGCCAAGTCCTTGAGTGTGCCGGCTGTGCTGTAGTGCAAATCTGTCTTGGTAAGAAGTGTAAAATACACTGCTTGAACCCTCTCTAGGCAAAATGTTAGCACTGGTATTTAAGCAAGAGTTGAGAGAATGGCATTAAGAGAATGACATTAAAATTCATTTTTTTTAAGGCACCATTGCTATGAAGAGTCAGACCATGCCTGTGCAGGCAAAGAGAGGCACCCTGAAGTGGCCAGCACTGGAGGCCATAGAATTTGGGGGTGGGCCGAGAGGAACACTGCTGTGCCCACACTTGGACAGGAGGGTAGAAGGCCCCAATGTCATTTAGTGTGGGAGCAGAGGGGCAGGCTGGTGCAGCCCCATGCCACCTGTGCCACACTGTTTGGACATGGGTTGTCCACAGACAGACAATGCCTGTGAGCTGCCACATGCCAGTAGGTGTTCCAGGCTATTCTTGATGCCTCCCAGGACTGGGACAGCATCAGCTCTTCACTGAGACTGTAATAGCTTGGACAAGATGTTGCCAGAGCAGGACATTAACAGTGCCAAGACCCAGCAGGCTTTTTAGCCTGGAGCCCAGTGGAACTGCCCTGTGCTGGCTGTGTGCCTGGGCTGTGCTGGCCATGTAGCTCTCTTGCAGCCTTATGGACTGCAGGGCTGCTGTCACAGGATCTGTGTGAAGGAGCCTATGGTGCAGGAGCTGTGGCTTGTCATGCATGTGCTGTGCAAAGCAGACCTACCATTTCAAGTTGGGTCCAAAGCTGTGTGTTGGAAATGTCCCAATCTCCATCCCTGTGGATGCGCCAAGTTGACTTTGCTCTAAATTAAATTCCACGGATAAGATTGTACATAGTGAGATTTTACTTAGTCACCCTCTCAAAATAGCACACCTGAGGAACAAAAGAGATACAAGTTGTGAATCCAAACATTCTGATAGCGTGAAAAAGATGACTGTTCCCTCCAGAAGTGTGTCAGCAAAGCAGTGCAACTCCTGGCTGTCTCAGGGCCTTACCTCATAGTCACAGGTGAACATGGTCTTGTGTCTCCTGCAACCCCTTTCTCCTCTGTAGGGTTCCCAGGACAGATGTGGTGAGATTTGATAGGCATATCCCTGCAGAAGAAGTGGGAATGCAGGCATCCCTCCTGCCCAAAAGGAGCTGCCAGATGCTTGGGGCCCATATGCCCAGTTACCCCGGACTATCCCTGCCCCTTGGCAGCAGACACAGGGTGACTCAGGGACGGTCTTGGGAGTGCTGATGGTCTAGCCAAGGCACTGGGAGAGCAGGGTATAATTGTGGGAAGTCAGAAAATATCCTCCTTCTATTGCCAGGAGAGCAAGGATGGATTGGCAAGCAGTGAAGGAGGCACCAAGTGATCCTGTCGGACTTGTAAGGGTACAGTGGTGCTCACATTAACTCCTTGTCACAGAGACCTTCACAATATGTAACTCAAGGTCTCTCTAGGTTTGATTAGAAACAGACACCCCAAACTTTGCACTGAAACTTTGAGGCCATCTCCAGTTACAGGAAGTCTGGGCATATCCATATGCAGATGTATGCAATTTGTTTCACTTCAGCAGTTAGCGTGACTGTTTTGAGGTCAGGGAGCCTGTTTCTAGGGAATGAGAGTTACTACTTGGGATGCTCAGCTGAGGGTGGATGCACACCATGTCCTCTCTATGCTGCCATCCTGCCCTCCATCCCAGAGGTTCTGCCCTTCCCGTGGAAACAGTTCATCCCTACCAGGGCTCCCAGGGACTAGAGGTGAAGAAGTCCATGTCTGCTGCAGTGCAGGAGCATGAGGGCAGTGTGGCTGAGCTACGAAGGAGGGCTCTGGGCTGGCAGAGCAGGCATGGGAACACCCACTGTGTGTGCAGCAGGGACGGTCCTTGCTCCCTGGGGCTGATGGTTTGTGATGGAGATACCTTACCACTGCTGAAAGTCTGGGGTCCTGCAGTTTGAGCTATGCTGTCAATGAAATTAGAACTGACACAGAGCTTTTCTCTGTGTGTGTGTGTGTTTGTGCAGAACCTTCCTGAGCTCCTGAAACAGATAAAAACCAGCAGAGGAGTTCCCAAGGAAAGGCTTCAGGTCTTGTGTTTGCTGCTGCAAACAGGGGCTTAGGAGGCAAAAGGGGGCTTAGGAGTCAGGGAGGCAGGCAGCACAAAGCCATGGGAGAGAATGTACTGAGCTTCCTGACATCATCAATAATAAAAGAAAGAGAGAAAGGGAAAAAACACCCCAGCCTCTTGGAATACTTTATTTATTACTCTGTCTCTACTGAGTCTCATAGGTGGTAGTCATTGCTGCAGACTTTCTGGAACTGTTTCATTTTCAGTTGTAAAAATTATAAATACCATGTCTGTAGCATATGATTTACCAAGGCTGTGGGGCAGGGCACTGTCCCAGCTCATTTTGGATGGGTCTGTCCACCTGCATTCCCCAGGAGCAGTGGGAGCAGTCAGCCAGTTGGAGAAAGCAGGTTCAAAGAGGAGGCAGTGTGTCAGCCACTGCACTAGACACTGGTCCTGGAACCCAGGGAGCATAAATTTTGTCAAAATGTTCCCAAGGATCAAAGCAAAGAGAGCTGAGATAGACATTAAGCTTTGGTAAGTTTTGTAGGGAGCTCATCAAAAGTCTGAAGGAACAATATTGGAGAAAGCAATAAATCTGAAATCACAGTAGGGTGAAAGTGGCAGGTAACTCCATTGCCTTCATCCAAGGTCTGCCTACAAGCCCTCTGTATCACCTGGGCAATTTTCTTCTCAAACACCTCTCATAGCTCATCTCCCCCAGGCTTAAACCTGGGCCACCCTTGCTCTCATGCCTGAGGGTGACAGCTGCATTTCATCTTCCTGGTTTCATCCCCATCATCTCAGTGCAGCCCTTCACCTGTGACAGTGAGAGACAGGCAAGGACTTGTGTACTGGACACCTTCTCACAATTTCATGGGCTTTTGGCTCTGAAGATGTGACAGAGCTGTTCACAGAAGGGCTAAACTGTAAATATACAGTGAATTAGCAAAAGGATTTTGCAACCAGAGATGAGTATTGCCAAAGACACAGGCTAAGATGCCTAAGCAGGCATTAATGACCCTGGCTATCACATTGCCTGGGAAGAGCTCCCAGTGGGGACATCACTAAATAGTGGAGCTGTTTCCCAGAAAGACTGATCCTGGCCTGGTTCCTGGTTAATTTTTAAAAATAGACTAAAGTGAAATTTCAAAAAAAGATGAGACACTTGGTGTGCTCTTGGCTTGGTAAGGAGAGAATGGATAGAGAATACCACAGTATCACTTCTCACACACTTGGGAACTGAATGTAGTGGCTCAAGGTTAAAACCTGCAGTAGGGGCACCTTGTTTTTTGCCCAAAGATCCCAGCCAGAAATGTGGCCAGGTGTGACATTTGGCTGTGCACTATATGACAGGTGGCCAGTCACTCACACAGATCCCTCTTTTTCTGTCCTGGGTTCAGCCCACCATGCAGAGCAGTGCCATCAGATAAGGGAGAGGCATGGGTCCCTAGCAGGGTCCTGCTGGCGTAGCATCACTCTTGCAAATGAAGGGGACACCACTGTCATAGGAGGCAGGAGGTGTGCAGGACAGGACACGCATAGTGCCTGCACCTGAGAATGCATATACCCCATTACAAAGCTCAAAAGTGATTTTACTGTAGCTGCTAAGCCTTAGAAAGGAACCAGTTCACTGGTTCCGTGGTTTAAACCCCTTCCTCCTGCTCTGCCATACTGCTCTCATATGTCATGTCTCATTAATTATTAATTGAGGGCAACCAGGTGGGAACAGCCCCCCAGACTGCTGTCACACTCCTCTCATTTCCCTCTGCCCTGCACACAGGGGGTGCTGTTTCCACAGGTCTCATACTGTCCTTTTCCACGGCACTGAGCCCTGTTCACGGGCAAAAGCAGTGCAAGTCCTGGCAGCAGGCTGTGGGGGTGACTGGGGGTGCCAGTCAGGAGCCGCTCTGCTGACACACCACCACTGCCTGAGCATGCAGGAGCAGGAGACAGACCCCACCGAGCACCACGTGTGGCTGCTGTATACTCCTGGTTTCCTACTCTGCGTTATTCAGCAGGGGAGCACAGATGGACTGCTGACAGGGGACCTGTATGGTGCAAGCAGCAGATGGGACCTCTCAGAGACCCTTCCTGTGGCTAGGACCAGGGAATGTAGTGCTCCATGATGTTCAACCCTGATGTGGGTGTTGAGAGGTTGAAGGAGGGTCTTGCTGGGGTGTGTGCACCAGAGTGTTCAGGGCTCATCCTCCCACCTGGATCTCTGAGAGGGAACAGAAGCTGAGAGAGCTTGCCCCAACCTCCTCTTGCCCATCTGCGCTGGGTAAAATTGATCAAAAGATTTACATCTGTTTCCCTTTCTCTCTCTCCCTGCCCCCTACCCCTGGTCAAACCTGCCCCCTCTTCCCTGCCCCACCTCCCACCGAAATAGGTAAGGAAGGCGGTTTGGGAGAGCCTGACTTGCAGCCAAGCTCTGACCCTTCAGCAATGGACAGCAGCTACCTCAGCGTGAAGGAAGCCGGGGTGAAAGTGCCCCAGGACAGGGCCAGCACAGACCTCCCCAGCCCCATGGACAAGGCCGACTCGGAGAGCAACAAGGGCAAAAAGCGGAGGAACCGCACCACCTTCACAAGTTACCAGCTGGAGGAGCTGGAGAAGGTCTTCCAGAAGACCCACTATCCTGATGTCTATGCCAGGGAGCAGCTAGCCATGAGGACAGACCTCACCGAGGCTCGTGTACAGGTATGGGGGGAAATCCTGGGGCTGGGTGAGAGGTGGATGAGCTGCAAAAAACCTCTGAGGTTCCCTTGCAGCCCCACCATAAGCTGCAGGCAGCCAAGCCCTAATCAGAGCCCATGGCACAGAGGAAGCACGAGGAGGTACCTCCATGTCTGACACTGGTGTCAACTCCTTTACTTGGTCTGGTGTCCTGCAATCCAGAGTTCACAGAAACATCCCTTGCCCTTGAGCTCATGGGACAGCAGGTGGGTAAGCCTCACCGCCACCCTGAACAAAGCTTGCACAAAACCTGCTCTCTTCAGGAGGCTTGCAGGGGACACAGGTTCATCAGTATGAGTGGGAGCAGGATGGGCAGGATGGGCTCCTTCTGGCAGATGGGGCTGCAGAGGGGAATTCAGTGCATGAGGAGATACAGGAGAGGCCGCTCTTGTTGCCTGCTTGGCAAGCACGGAGACTGCATGAAAGCTGGAGATCTGGAGGTAAAAGGTGCACCCACAACCTTAGGAGGAGCAGGAGAGTCAAACAGCCACGCTCTGTTGACAGTCTCAATCATCTCTACCCACACAGGTGCCAGCTCTCATGAACTAGCTCCCTTGAACTAGCCTGGGGGGCCAGGAGACCCGAAATCCACATCAGAGGAGGGAATGATTCTCTGACTACTGCTCTTTCCTCTGAGTCAAGGTTAAACAGGAGGCCTGTCAGGGCTCAGAAGCATGTGCAAAAGGGAGCACCACTGCATGGGGCGGACATCCGCAGCTCACGCCTTGGTGGCCAGCTCCTTCTCCAGCACAGCTAATCCTGTAACTTCCGTCTGCAGGCATTTGTCAGCTCACCACCCCCAGAACCTGCATTAGCATCAAGAATAATTAGCCCATGGAGACACCTGATTCTATCTTTTATACCAGGAATATTCCCAGCTCCCAGGCAGCCTCTGCTTTAACCTTTACAAGTAGTTGTTGCAAATAAGGCCCACATCCACGCTTAAGTCCATTTTAGCTTGTACATTCACTTCTCAATTCACCAGAAGCAGGATTTTTCTTGTCTGCTTGGTAAATTGGTTGGCAGGGCTGGTGTGCTCTTCTTCCCCACAGCTGTTTCTCTTCAGGCTGGACATGGATGTGTTTCAGTAGCCAGCAGTGTGATTCCCACTGCTCCCGAGTGCAGTATCTTGGGCACTGCAGCATGGGCAGAGCAAGGCAGTGCTACAAACATCAGCTCTTTACTTGTGACACTGGATACAGCTCTTGATTTCCCAAGAACACACCACAAGTGCTAATGGGGTCTCCTGGGAGGCCAGACATAGCATCGGGTTACTGGCTGCACAGTGCATGAAATTCCTCTAGCTCAGGAATGAGAATGAGGTGCTGGATGGTGGTGAGCTCCTCCTGCTCTCTTCTGAGCCAGGGTTTGCAGCTACTGTGTCATCCCAGCAGCATGAAGGGTGGCCATCAGAGCCAGGGCAGGTGAGACAGATGCAATCTACTATATGATCCTTCATTCTAGAGTTTTTCCCCACTTATCCACTTTTACCACTGGATAACACCTCAGCTGAGGGTAGAAGCAACTCCCTGGGTAGCCAGGAGTATATTTGGCAAAGAGGGGTTTCAGCTTGCTCTGAGATAAGCGTGCCAGTAGCCTGTTGCACAGGCAGCCAAGAACAGCCTCCCTGCTCTGGCAGCTGCCAGTGCACACCTCTCACTTGGGATGGCGATGACAGGGCTCGTGTGACAGAGCTGCTGAAGGACTTGTCTAAGTGGCCTGGCCGCTCGAGCACTTGCCCCATGGTGAAAGGGGTGAGCACTTGCATTTCAGTCATTCCCCAGCTCTGCCAGGAAGGAGCCGGTGACTTGGGCCATGGGCTGGCACCAGGCCACCACCTCGTGCTGCAGGACTGCCGTGCTGTCAGCAGCAGTGCAGGCTCTCATCACTGCATAGGAAGAACCAGCAGGCTTGTGCCCAGAGCAGCAGGCGCTGGCTGGGCAGGCTCAGAGGCAGCCCAGGGGCTGGATATCTCAAATGTGTTTCCAGGGGTGAGGCTGCTGGCTAGTGAGCTGCTTGGCCCTGGCATGGCAGTGGCAGCCCCCGGGAGGTGCAGTCTGAGGTGGCACAGGGTTTTTCTGCTGATGGAATGGGGCTGCTCTTCCCATGAGTGGGGCTTTTGGAGACGAAACCTTAGTGAATCACCCTAGTGCCTGTCTCCACCTTTGGGTTGTGCTACAGCTTGTTTAGCCTTTACCCCCTTGGCAGCTCTGTTCTGTGGGGTCTTCCAACACCAGCAGTGTGGCCTCAAGGGTCATTGGCTCACAGCCCAAGAGTGGGTACTGGCTGCAGCTCAGGAGGCTGATGGCGAAGCAAATGCCCACTGCAAGGACCAAAAACCAAGGGCTAGAGGGTGGAAACCACAAATTAGACATGAGCTCCTCACTACCTTTCTCCTGCAAGCCAAAGAACTGTGAAGTACTCAGACACCATCCATTGTGCTGGGAAAGGCTCTGGCTGCTGTGGGGTGTTTGGGCACACACCTACTGCAACCCCATGAGCTTTGAGGGCAGCACAGTAGTCCCTCTCACAAGGAAGGTATGGTCATCTAAGGGATAATCCTGCCCTGGAATGACTTTTTGGAGGTCATCTTCAGAAAGGTAAGGCACTGGTTTAAGGTGTGATGCTCCCTCTTACAGCTTTTGGCTGGACGTCATCCCCTCTGGCCAGGCTTGGCTTCCTGGGGAGCATGACCAGCTGCACTGCAGGCAGGAGCAGATGCAGAGCCCAGACAGGCTCCACAGCTCAGATTTTTCCATCCCTTCCCCAAGTTTCACTCTTCTTTAGTGAAGTAGCTGCCGGAGTTTGTGGTGCCTGGAGAAGAGCCCGTGCCAGCAGCGCACATGAGGTGGACCACACTGTCTATGAAGCAGTGACATTCCATGGCCTAGACCCTCTCCTGCTCCATTTCCCTGCCTGCCTCAGTTTCCAGCCATCTGTACTGATGTCTGTCAATGTCAAAGCTAATTTCCCCTGTGATGCAATGCAACATTTTCCTGTCTACTCCCTTCAATCTTGTCCCTTCATTCCACGTACTGTTAAGATACTGCATATCCCTGATTTGCAAAGCAGGAGCCATGCATAAGCCTATGCAGAGGCACAGCCAGGAAGAGGTTGCTACCTGCAAGGATGCACAGGGGGTTCTGTGTTCATGTAGGTCCTACACAACATGTATGTCCCATTCCTTTGTTCTCTTCCATGTCCGGGGCTGCAGAGCCCCAGAAAGAAGTATCAGCAACTGCTGAGTCTCTTCCAGCTCATCCAGGTCTGCAGCAGATGTCTGAGGCAGTGGCACTAAAATAACAAGGTAGACACGTGTATTCACACATTATTCCTTCCCCTTGCATAGAAACACACACAGGAACATCCCAAGCCCATGCCAGCCTGGTCCTGGCTGCTTACCTCTCTTGGATTATCAAGTATCTGCCTCCTGGACTGCTCTCTGGGAGAGGAGAAAGGGATGGGACTGGAAGGAGGCTTCGCAGCCAGGGAATATAACCCATCAGCCAGCCCCCCTCAGAGCCAGCTTTATCATTGCTGGGACCATTAATGAAATGTTTTTGGCAGTGACCCTGTGATGCGGCGGGGGCTTGAAAGTGAGAGGGAAATGTCAAACTCTGCTGTAGCAAAATCACTGCTTTGGAAAAAAAAAAGAAAAGAAAAAAAGCAAAGCAAAGCAAGAAGTAATATATCTTGATCCCTTTTCCCCCATAAAACCCTGGGAGGCTGGTGGAAGGAGCGGAAAGACTGAGCTAAGCCTGCAGGAAATTAAACATGAAATGAAAACAAGCTCGAGTTATTCAATTCTCTCATCCCAGGCTCCAATTTCCCATTCCAGGCCACTGATAAAATGGTGTCCAGTTTCAGCACTCAAGGATGAATTCTGGCTCTGTTCTTGCAGTCTGAAAAGTAAAGGGCTGGTGGCCATCTCTGGCAAGAGGAGAGATGGCCTGACCTTTCACAGAGGGATGGGGTCCTGCACACAGACAGATGGAGGCTGAGCAGAGAGAGGAGGGTAGCAGGGTGAGAGGACAGGAATGGGAAGAATGGATGCTGTGAGCCTGCCAGAAGAGAGTAAAAAGCACAAGATGCTTGAATGTCAGAGCGGTGATGCAGTGAGGGGTGCTGAGCACAGGGCATGAGCACAACCCCACAGCTGCTATCAGCCCACCACCACATGTGCAGAGGTCAGCCTCACCCATCACTGCCGTGGTGGGGGTAGGGGAGAGGGGAAAACGCCTTTAACTTGGAGGAAGGACAAATAGGTGATGCAGCCCCCAACTATCCAGGCATGGTCAGAGTCCTGGGTTAAGTCCCAGCTGAGCCCATACACCTGCCACCATGGGGCTTGGTGGCAGGGGCAGGCTGGCAGTGCCCACTGGGTGGGGAGAGGCAGCAAGAGAGCGAGCAGGAGCCTCTCCACTTCTGGCCTCTCCACCCCCAACAGCACATCAGCTGTGTATGCATATGGATTTAGGTACCGGCATATGGCTGAATGTTTATGGAGACACGAAACATTCTCTGTTCCGTAGATTTTTACAGGGCTGATTTGGTACATCAGGGCTTATCAAAGCATTGTCTGCAGGAGTCAGATACATGACATTACTGTACACTCCTACTGTAATTACTAACACTGAGATTCAGCCTACAGTGACTGCTGGCCCCTGCACAAAGTAGCCCATCCTGACCCCAGAGGACATGCTGCACCAGCCACTGCAACCTCTGCTGTCACATTCCCATCCCACAACAGCCACTCTCGACAAGGAGTGACAGGCAATGAAAGGAAAATGAACTTCTGTTTGGGTTTAGATTTGCTTTTTAAAAGCAGGTGTCTTCTAAGACTGTGAAATACTGAGGATTAGTTGGGTTTTTTTGCTGACATTTTCACATTATACATTGCCATGCCTGTCTCATTTTCCCCTGGGCACTGTGGAGGCCTGGAGAAACCCAGCTGCAAGATACCAAGAAGCCTATATGGATTTGGACCAGAGGAAAAAGGAGAACTTTAAAAAGTGGTCCAAACCTTGCCACAAGTGCTTCAGAGCTCAGTGTCAGCCCTCAGAGTGTCTCTGGTGCCTGTGACACCACTTGGACTGAAGATACTCTTCTTCTTCAGCCTAACGCAATGACTTGCCACATCCTCCCAGCCCACCAGCCACAGGGAAATTTGGGAACTGCTAGTTTAAACCACTTTGCTCTGCTCAATCCAATGCATAAATGTGTCAGAGCAGAGGCCCAGACCTCACTCTGCTCTGTCAAGGCAGCTGTTGCGCTGTCCCAGGAGGAAGAGGGCGCAGACCCTGCGCTGACAGCCTCGAAGGTCACACTGCAGAGCCACGCACCGCTGTGGGGCCTGAGCGCGGCCGCCCTGCTCCCAGGTGGGAGCTCCGGCGGGCAAGGCAGCCGTGCCTTCACCACACAGGGAATGGCCGCGTATGCCTGGCATATGTTCACCCTGGCCTCATGCACAGCCAGCACTCCGCTCCCTACCTGTTCTCCACCCCTCTGTGCACAGCGGGGCCTCCTCCGCCTGAGGAGGAACCAGGTCACCACCGCTAACTTTGAATCTGCAGATCAAAGCGGCGTGATCCAGGCCAGCCCCGGGACTGGCCTGCAGCTGGGCCGGAGTGGCTGTGCCAAGAAGAGGTAGAAGAAAAACAGACAGATGCCTGAGGCATCAAACCTGCTCCAGTAGGACGCTCTGAATGTGCAGTGTGTGCTCAGCTGGGATAACGTTAGGACGTTTCTGCCGATGCTTTTTGCACCTACTGAAAACACTTGCAGGGTTTTTGATTTGGGGTGAGGGGGTTGATGGCAGGTTGCTGCTTTGGCCAGCTTGTGGATGGCGTTGCCAGTGCCATGGGGCCGGGCACTAAACCCTATGCTATCCACAGCTCACATGCGGAGCACATGCCTGGCAGCTGCACCATCGGCTCCCCGCCCAAGCAGACCACAGTGCATGGCCAGACCCTCAGCTCATACCACAGGCCTGGCTGGGAGAGACCAGCACAAGGCTGCCTATGTGGTGGAAGGCAAAAACTGAAGCAGGAGAGCCTGAAACAACTCTTCCAGCACGAGCAGGAAGGTCAGCCCAGACCAGAAAGCAAGCCCTTTATCGCTCCCCGTAGCAGCTTCTGGCTGCACTGATTCAGGCTGCAGGTGCCACGACTCTCCTGCCCCTGCAAAAATTGTCTTGCCATCCCACCCTGTGCCAAGCACCTGGCTTGTCCTGCTAGCCTCTGAAGACATGAGCTTCCTACCTGGCGTCTGCTTTCCCCAGGTGCCTGGCAAGCAGCGAAGCTGCCCCACGGCCAGGCATGGGAAGGGCCAAGCTGCTTGTCAGCAATACCCCCCCTGCCCTCCCCAGCGAGTCACCGTGTAAAACTCGAAGCAGAGCTGTGAGGCTCTAGGAGTGCTCCTTTCATGCACTGGCGTGACCTGCACAACCCAGCCCCTGGTGATCGCCCTCATCTCTCAGTGCCTTCAAAGCACCTCTTGATTGATGTGTTTCCCTGACTCACGAGCTTCAAGAGGCTTTGAAGACACTGGGCCAGGCTCTGATCTCTCTTAGGCTGATGCAAATCAGGAGCAATGGTGCTGACAACAGTGCAATAATACACACTGATGTCAAGCCAGTAAAAATAAGAGCAGAAACAGAGTTTTGGTCTTTGCCTTGAAGGGATCTGAGCAGCACTATGAAGCAAAGAGCAGCAAACCCTGCAAAAAAAATCTCAGTGTAAACCAAAGGATGCTATAGAAGGGCACCTGTCCTCTCCTGCAGCTAAGGAAGGAAGGGGTGTTCAGCTTTGTATTTCTTGTTGCGGTTAAGAAAAGCGAGAGACTGGGTGAGAAATGCAAGCTGCAGTCAATGGCATCATCATAGCCAGGCTTAGTCTTGGGGAAAGCCCCATCACTGCTGTTTTCAGCCTGGCAGCAGCACACATGGATGTATTCACACTTCTTGTCTGAGACTGGCTGACAGCAGGAGAGCTGCAGACAGAGCCTGGGTAACGCAGATTTAGGGGTGAGAGGAAGACAGGCTTTCCCAGGGCAAATCAGGCTGTGGGAGGCAAGAGCTGGGAATGTTCCCTGAAAGGCTGTGCACCACAAGATGGGCATCCCCTTTTTGCTTGGAGTGTTCCCTTCCTAGGGGCACAGGCTGGCCCCAGACCCTCAAGAGAAGCAGGGAAGGACTGTCTCTCCCCTGCAGAGCATGTGTGTGGAGCAGTGCCCATCTGTGCCATACAAAAGCACCTGCCTGGTGAGGCCCTGCCCTCTGGTGGGCTCTTCAGGGCTGCCGGGCTACCAGCCGCTGCCGGGCTCCCCGTGTTCACAGCCCTGCTGTCGCCTCTCCCCAGGTGTGGTTTCAGAACCGGCGAGCAAAATGGCGCAAGCGGGAGCGGTTCGGTCAGATGCAGCAGGTCCGGACCCACTTCTCCACCGCCTATGAGCTGCCCCTGCTCACCCGTGCTGAGAACTACGCCCAGGTGAGTGCATTCCCCAGCCTGGGCACAGGGCTTGCTGGACACGCTGCCTCTGGGCCCAGTCCTCCTCAAGCCATGCTTCGCTGCTCAGGTACCTCCACCTGCCCTTTGGCAAGGCCGCAAGGACACTGGGGCTATACTGTCAGGCACTGAAGGGCTGCCAGGTTTTTGGTCAGGTGTCCTGCTTGGCTCCCTCATGCCGTGGCCCAGAGCAGCCATCTTTAGAGCAGGTACCAAGCCCCAGCTGTGTGTGACACAGAGCAGCACCCTTGGGCACAGGTCACCCTGCCCAGCACATCCTATCACGTGTGCTGCTGCCCACTAACTTTCAACTGGTTTCAAGAAGATCCAAAAGGCTAATTCATGCCTAAAGAATAGCAGATCCCATGGGGGCTTCCTGTTACCATGTCTGGTTTCCATGCCCCTTGGACATGGTAGTTGGATAAAAGCTTTTTTCCCTTGGCAAATTCCCACAGCCGTCTCCCAGTGATGGGCTGTGGTACATGCAGCACACTTGGTGACATCTGAGGATGCTTCCCAAGGGAGTTGTAGATTTATGCTCCAAAGGAAGGGAGGGAACAGCCTGGTTGGGGGTACCTGGGGCTGCTTCTGAGTCCTATTGAAACTGTTTCTGGCCTGACCCTGGAAGTGAGACACAGGGTTGCCTCCCCGCCTTGGCTTCCTGTCTTGAAAAACCTGTCAGCACAATAGCCTCCTAAACATGGGGCCAGCCCCAGTTTCACAACACTTCAGATGATGCCAGGCAGACTGGGGTTTGCTAGCTCCAGGGCTAGGCTGTGCCCCAGAAAGCACTCCTTCCATCTTCCACTCCTCTTCCCACCACCCAGAATTTGCTCAAGGGCGCAATTCTGCAAGCAGGATGCTCTGAACCTGACTGTCCTCACAGATCTGCTAGAAGTCCTCCCTCCCTGACACCCTGTCTGTCAGCTGCCTCCCCAGCCAGCTCTGTACCAATTCTACCCCACAGCCAAGCTGGGAGTGTTTGACCTCTCTCCTGCTTGGCATCTTCCATAAACTGTACAAGAAGCCCTTTTGAAACAGCTGAGATGCCAAAGCAGCTTTTCAAGCAGAGAACACTCTCAGCAGCCTTTTCAGCTTGTCCTTCTCTTGCCTTTGGAACTTACACTGCTCTCTCCCTCCATACTGCCCTCCTCTCCCAGCACAAGAGATCAAAATTTTGAAAAGCTATTTGCAGGAGGTAAGAGATCAGAGAGGGCCCAAGGGTGAGCAGTGGAAAGGAGCATGGGGATGAAAGACCCTCTGCTCTCTTGCTCCAGCCAGCTGCTCACCTCCTCCCTGCTTTCATCCTGCATGCCCATGTGCCTCCTGCTGCAGCATACTTATTCCCTCTGTCAAATAGTGAGCCCTCCTCTCTTCTTCTGCAATGCCATTTTATGAGTGACACTGCAGGATGCCAGATGGTCTCTCCAGGTGGCCCCGCAGGGCTTTGCTCTGCAGCAGGGTGGGTGATGCTGCCTTGATGGGCACTGCAGGGGGAGAGGGGCAATGAAGCTGCCTGTGCTGGGGGCTCAGCTCTGACAGGTATGTCTGTGTGGTACAAAATAGCCCTTGCTTAGGCAAAGCTGCCCTGAGCTGGAGAAGGAAGGTGGATGAGCAGCCTCACAGGACTGCTTTCTGTCTGATCCCTCTCTAATGAGTAGCACCACAGAAACACCATAGATGACACAAAGTTTCCTGTGCTGAGAAAATGCTCATGGTACAAAAAAAGTAAGAGAAGTGACTGGAAGAGGAATAAACAAACAGATGCTGTGGCAGAGGAGCACGATCCTGCTCCCTGTGAGTAATCCTGCTGCCCTCCCTGCCTCTGTCCAGGCTGGCATAGAGGCTTTGGAGGGGATTTGCTGGCTGCAGCAGGGCTGGGGGTGCCGCAGCTGTCAGGGGCCAGCAGTCTGCACGCCCGTCTCACTGGCTGCCCCTCCACTAGGCTGTCCCGCCAGGCCGGGGCTGGACACACTCCATCCCCCCAGGCCAGCTGCCCGATGTATCCTGCACGGGGCAGCCCTGACGCTTCTTTTCCCACCCCCAGATCCAGAACCCCTCCTGGATTGGCAACAACGGAGCCGCCTCCCCCGTGCCTGCCTGCGTCGTCCCCTGCGAGACGGTGCCCTCCTGCATGTCCCCCCATGGCCACCCCCACGCGGCCGGCGGCGTCTCCGAGTTCCTTGGAGTCTCCGGGCCCGGCAGCCACGTGGGACAGACTCACATGGGCGGCCTCTTCGGCACAGCCGGCATGAGCCCCAGCCTCAATGGCTACGAGCTGAACAGCGAGCCGGACCGCAAGACCTCCAGCATCGCTGCCCTGAGGATGAAAGCAAAGGAGCACAGCGCCGCGATCTCCTGGGCGACATGACAGGGCTGCAGCCCAGCGCCCGCCAGACACGGAGAGAGCACACGGGGACAGCCCAGCAAATCCACCCGCTTAGACTCCGGACAGCAGTTGCCTCCTCGGGGATCTGAATGCAGCACTTTTAGCTACCCTAGGCATATAAAGTACATATGTTAATGTAAGTGGAGTGTTTCCGGCATGAACGTGGCAGCTCCCGGCTTCCTGGGATCAGGCAGGGAGAGGGAGGCTGTGGAGCAGCACCTCTTCCATCAAGATCTGGGATGGGATGCATCCCTTCCCGCTGCCACCTCCCCGATAACCTGGGCATTTTTTCTTCCCTCTATTTTATCTGACACCAGCTCTGCTGTTCCAGAGAGCAAGAGCCCACTGGCCTTCCAGCAGCTTCTCCCATCCCACTACCCACCCACACACACTCACACATGCGTATTCTGCCCTGGGCAGGGGACTGGATGGGGACTCTGGCGCCAGCAAAGAGATTCTCTCACACTGCCAACATCATTTTAGCAGGAGCTATGGCTTCCCACAGCTGAGCGAGGAACAGGGCTGGGAAGATAACCAGAACCAGAAAAAAGGCAACATTAGCCCACCTCCTTCTACCCTGCTCCCTCTCCATGTTGTACTCTGAGATGCAGCGCAGAGTTGTAGAGGTCTGTGTAGGGGATGCCCCTCTCGATGTTATCATGCTGAGCTTCTTTGCCAGCCCTTTGGTGACCCAGATGGAGATAGACCTCAGCAAACAAAAGCTTTCCAGCATGGCTCAGTGCCCCAGGGAGTGCCTGGGCTTTGCTTTCCCTGGTTGTGGTCTATGTAGGGGCTCACAAACATGGTGGTACAGGAAAAGATTGCCTCTGTCTTTCGCTGGGTCAGGAATTATTAACTTCAATTTAGAGACAGCAGCTCTGGCAGGGAAGCACAATTGCTGTGTAAAACTTCAAGTCCCCAGAAAGACTGCTCTAAGAAAGAGCTCAAGCACTAGCACACAGCCACAGTGACACAAGGCCATCAAATTCCTCATATACCTCATCCTGGGGTTAGACATGCGCAATGGCAGGCCCTCCCTCAGCCCTCTACCCCAGTGCCCTGTTGCACACAATGGCTGTGGGCATCTCTGCACCAGGGACAGCCAAGGGAACAGGCTGGGAAGGGGCCCAAGAGAGGACAAGATGATGCTGCCCCATTCCAACCACCTCAGATCCTCTTCACTTTGCAGAGGAAGTAGAAGAAACCAGAACTTGTCTGGTTTGTGTGAACTAACATGCCTCTCTGCTTCTCCCTCCCCGTGCTCTTACCTGTGCAGAGCTGTTAAGTAAGATCTCCTTTGCAAGGCTAAATACTTTACAAGTTTTTCTATGATCATAGTGCATGGAATAATGAATAATTACCCCACATCATTACACCACTGAAATACCACCAAGGAGAAGCTGAAAGTCAAGTGAGCACTACCACCCACACAGTGGGGCTCTGCAAGCTGAGCTTGAGCTGGGGTAGCCATCTCTGAGATTTGCAAGGGAATTATAGGATACTACTCCCGTAAAAACTGGTTTGTAACCTTGCCCTCTTTCCTCATGCTCAGTGTTTGGGGATCTTGTAGTTTAAGGTCCAGGAATATCTAGTGGTCTTGGAAAGAATTACAAATAAGCTACAACCAAACGTAAGGCTTCAGGTTAATGAGCCATACAAGTATTTCCACAGTGCCTAGACTGTCAATACACTACCTTAATGATACACTATTGCTAGGTCAAAAGAAATATATTTACTGGAATAAGAAAACACCAGAAGTACTGTTTCTTTTCTCTTCTCAGAAATGCTAAGAGATGCCTTCCCTACTATGCACAGGGAGCCAGCATGCATTTCACCACACCACGTGCATAACCAGGGCCTCTCCCACCACAAGCAGACAGGATTTAAATCCCAGCCTAAACATTCAGCTGAGGCCTCGGGCATGGTGGCTTAGATGCTGAAAGTGATGCTGATCATGGAACCAGACAGGATCACGCTGACCAGTTGGAGGTGTATGCATCCCCACTGGGTACCAGAAGCCACTGAGCTTCCCAGCCATCCAGGGACCAGTGGTAGGAGGCAATTTGTCCATCAGATTTGAGCAGGCAGCTGAGCACAGCGTTTGTGAGCCTTTCCCAGGAACACTGTGGATCTTGATGCTTCCCCCTGGCAGCAGGCAATCAGTGGAGGGCTGCTGCCTGAACAGTCCAGTACCATTGCTGACAAGGCAAATTAGCAACAAGCAGAGCTAATGAGAGGGCAGTGGGGTGGGCAGGCATGTGGGGACAGGTCTTGCTTAGCCTGCAAGTTCTGAAGGCAGCTCCAGTGGAGGGCTGTATCTGTTCAAGAGCTTAGCTGCATTCCCTACTGAAGTTAAAGGGTAGCTTTTCTTCACAGTCTTCCACAGGGCCAGTATTTCATCTGAGCTGTTTAAGAGCCCAGAGGATTAAGTGCTGTATCCCTGTCTTGTTAGAGAGAGAGAGAGAGAAGAGTCTCCTGGCAGCAGACTTGGCATATAGAGAAGCTTGGCCCCCACTTTCTCTCACCTTAAAATTCATGTGGAAAGCACATGTTGGACTCAGTCTAATTTAAACACCACTGCATGTGCCCAGCCCTCAGCCTGCCTGAAAACACAATGAGGCAAGGGGAATGTTGTTCCCTGGACCCCCTTCTGCAGGGCTCCCTTCCCACCTCCAGCTGCAGGCAGCCCCACTGCTCATGGGGCTCTGCCTCATCTCCTTTGGTGTTGATGCCATTCCAGCACTGTCCCTTGCACCCACATTTTGGGTAATGCTGGAAGGGCTGCCCCTCCCAAATCTTCAAAAGAAGCTGTTCTGGTGGTTTTTAAGCTACATGAATCTGTACTTACATACATTTTTTAAATTAATTTTAAAGGGTTTTTAAAACTAGCTGTTAAATTAACATGAAAAACTGTATATATATATATATATATATATATACACTTTTATATATATATATATATATATATATATATCTTAACCTAGCCAGCCTGCATCTACTGCATTTCTTAAGGGTCACAGGGTCAGTGCTGTTCCTGCAATCTCACATTACCACAATGATACCTTTTTAATTATTATTATTATTGTTGTTATTTTAATATCTTTCAATTCTATTTATGACTTTCTTCTCTATTTATTTCTTATTTAGTATTTTACTCCTGTCTATACATTGAATCACAATTCCCTGGCTTGGACTTGCCTTCAAAGCAGCAAGCTTTGTCCCCATCCACCACCAAAATGTCTCAGAAGCATCAGCCGTCCCAACACCTGCCATGCCCATGGTGGCATCCTCTGTGGGTGCAGCCCAGCCAACTGGGCTCACCTAGATACTCCTTCCAGCCTCATAGAGGTAGCAAAACATTTCTCTTGGCCCTGACTATGCAGCAGGTATCCTACAAGGTGGCTGCCTTATGTTGCCCATGTCTGGGAACCCCAGAGATGTCCCAGAGCTTTGAGACCAGGAGGATGCAAATAGTAAGAGCAGCATGGGTTCCTGGCACTGCCTTGAAAGTGGTTGGGTACCACTCGCTGCCAAGTACTTGGAGGCGCTTCTTGCCTGCAAGCAGTAGTCAGTGCTTTGGTAGCAATTGCAAAGCAGTGGGGAACCAGGCTTGGGCTTGCTGGGCCCTGCGGGGTCCAGACTCTAAGGGCTGCTGTGCCTCAACAAGCTCCTGGAGAGGGGCCAGGTCAGCCCCCTGGCACGTCACCTACTGCCAGCAGTGCCACCCACCTGCACTCCCATCAGCCTCTCCATCAGGCTCCGGCTGCCTCCTCCAGAATGTGCTACCCAGCCCAGGTCCCACTGCCCCAGCACCTACCTGGGTAGAGCCTACAGGGAGGAAGACCAAGACAGCAAAATAAAGAGAACCACCCTCCCTCTCCTCTAAAGCCTGTGGCAGAGTGTGAGCGAGCATCCATCCCTGCCGGAATGCACATCCCTGCCAGGTGACATGTCCTTGCTGGACCACGCCTGGCCTGAGCCACCAGCATGAGCAGGCTGTTAGGGAAAGGCCACAGGCAGTGACAATGTGTCACATGTGAGGGCGCAGAGCTACAGCACACATGGCTTCACCTGTCCCTTCGGCCAAGGAGACACATCACCAACCCGGGCCAGAAGAACCCCGTGTGCTGCCTAGCAGGGCTGCCTGCTGCTTTCCTCCTGCACTGGAGGTGTTTTGGGATGGGGAGACACATTCCCTTGATTCCCACAGTACACTCAAACCTGGCAGCACATTGTAAAACACTCTCCAAACAAACTAATGCAAAAAGGTAGTTTCTTGGAAAAAGATTGAAAAATAATCAAGCAGAGGCAGAGCCCCGTGTTTATTTTGCTGCTCTGACTGACACAGCAAAAAGCAAATAGACCGAGGGAGAAATTAAACCCAAATGGGAAGGGGGTAGAATCAGAGGGAAAGTCATTCACCCCTTTGCAGTTTCCCGAAGGGAGCTGGGAGGAGGTGAGGGAGCGGCCTTACAGCCCCTTAACTCTTTGCTGGTAACATGGTTCTCCACTCCCCCCACATAGCTAGGTAGGTAGGTAGAGCTAGGACTTTTATACTACTGATTTTGAAGGACAGTTTTCAATGTATAATAATATATCGGTTTAGGTGTGCAGTGCTTGAAAGAGAGACTGGGAGAAAGAAAGAAAACAAACCTCAATCAATATTATTGTTTTTTGTTGTAAAATATTGTAACCTTGTATAAATGCTACTTTTTTTTTTTTTCTCTCTCTTTAGCTTAATGGCCTGGGGTAGAACATATAAAAAAAATAAAAAAGTTTTAAAAATGTTCAGGAAAAAAAAAGAATAAAAAAAAGTCATTTAAAATGTTGCCACATGAGGTTTGTGCCATGCAATGTTATTGCCTATGCAACCATGTATTACCAGTTCATTACAGTGAAATATTAAAAAAGAACAAACAGTCTTGCAGCTTGATTCTTTTTAAATTTTTGAAATAAGTTATTGCACTTGCAGCTTTTTTCTT